TCCTCTTCGCTCATCAACTTCCATTTCGTTGTCGTTTCTTTTCTCACCTGCAATCAATGTTGTTTGATCAATAATGTTGATAACAATCCATCTCTATAACCTTTTCAATTAAATTCACATACAAATAGAACAAACCTTCTTATCATTTTTTGAAACTCCCTTCAAACGTCTACATTCCATCACACTATAAACATTTCAAATTTCTCATCAATCTGATTATTTATTATACTTTTAATCAATAACCAACTTTCAAACAAGTTACATATAAATACATGGTCACTTACTAAAAGTGAATATATGCGCACATTGATTTCTTCGGCCTTCCCTCTGTCTCAGTCGTATCGTGGTCCTGAAAAATATCTTCTCCCTCTTCTCGAGGCATGACAAAGCCTCCCATTTCATTGATTCCATCTTCTTCTTCCTTTACATTCAATTATTACAATACAAAACATATTACAACAACAAATTTTGTTATAAATTATAATGTAAATGTAACAGTAAACGATTATCTCATGATGTTTTATATCAATAACAGTTCAGTATAGTCACTTATCATGTACAACCTATAAAATTATCTACAACCTAATTTTTTGTCCTACAACCTATAATATTACATTTCGCTTGGTTTACTAACAACAATCAATTCACATTCCTTCAACCTATAACAATAATCAGTCCTCTGTTCCACAGCTTTACCCTATATAATAAACCCTAATCACTAAATCAAAAATAACTTAATTGAAGAATTTGTAAACTAGGGTTTCGAAAACGTACCTCTCTCTTCTTCAAATTGGGATTTCAGTTTTGTTATTATGACTTAATTTTTACTTCTCAGATGGAAAATGGATTCTTGAGACGAAAACCCTTGCTCTACTCTTTGATTATTGCCTTTATCGTCGTTAAACCGCTTATTTTATGTATAAATACTTAGGTGGTATTTGTTTTTGCAAAGGTAAAAGGTCTGCAATCTGCGGACCACATCTGCAGAAGAAGAGGTGGTCCAAAAGTCTGCAGTCTGCAAGAAGAAGACTGTTTGTTTTTTAACTTCTGCAGACTGCTAAAATAAATTGAAATATAAATAAATTAATTTTTTAAACTTAAAAGAGTTTTGCAATACTGAGATTTAAATAATTTTAGTTTTACAATACTGAAATTTAAATAATCCATACAACTACAATAATAAATTATTTAAAAATAAATCAATCCATATTTTAAAATAAATCAATCCATACTAATAAATTATTTAAAATAAATCAATCCATATTTTAAAATAAATCAATCTATACTAATAAATTATTTAAAATAAATCAATCCATACAACTAAATAATAAATCAATTCATATTTTAAAATAAATCAATCCATACTAATAAATTATTTAAAATCAATCAATCCATATTTTAAAATAAATCAATCCATACTAATAAATTATTTAAAATAAATCAATCCATACTAATAAATTATTTAAAATAAATCAATCCATACTAATAGATTATTTAAAATAAATTATTTTAAAATAAATCAATCCATATTTTATAATAATTTATTTTAAAATAAATTATTTTATAATAAATAACCTTATTAAATTATTTTAAATTATTTTAAAATAAATAACCATATTTTATAATTGTTCTTGAAGAGGTTTGAAGACATTTGAAGACATAAAACCATGTTTGCACCAAGAAGAGCTCGCGCAGACGTTAGAAGAGCTTCTGTCTTCTAAAAAACAAACGGTCTACGAAGCCTAATGTCTGCGAGTGGTTTGCGCGACACAGACATAAGAGGTTTGAAGAGATTACACAGTGAAAACAAACTAAGCCTTAGTATTTTCCCATTTGTATCGAAATACGTGGATTGATATGATACTTTTAAATACAATTCTTCATTCTTTTTTTTTACAATTCGAAAGTATCGATACTTGAGGAAAAACTTTCGATATAATCGATTTCCGACTAAAAAAATTGTACCCATCAACCGGAAAAAACTATACGTTACTTTAATGATATTGGTTACAATTTAAAATTTTACTTTCTTCTTAGTGTCACAACATTATTAAAAAAACCGTTATTGTTAGACATTTTACTAATATTTTAGGTTTCGACTACAAAAATTAAGTTCATGTTGCCCTCTTCCTTCACACATTAATGTTATAAGTTGTTCTCTATACTATAACCGATTTCGCTTTGAATTTATTATACAATTCGAAAATATCAAAATTCTTCTAAGTGAGTTTTAATGCTAACAAGGAACATAAATTACCCAGTTAAGCCATTCTTTTGTTTCCTAAACTACATGAAAGTTAATATATTAATTTAATATTTCCAATAACACTTAACCTATTTTATTAAGTTCCTTTAAATATTTTCGGTTACTGTTCTTTAAAATTACCCCTAAATCCCAGCAGTGACCGAAAGTGACGGCATGTCCAGCACATCCATGGGGCCCGGTCTCCAACACCAACCACGTCAGACTCGACTCAACCAAAGGTGTCTACACGCGTATCGGTTGCAAAGTCTTCTGCCACGTGTCCCCACGATTCCTTCAAGAAATCGACATCCCCTCTTCCTCAAAACAACATTGTTAATCACGTAAAAGCTCTCCCAAATAAATAAAACAAATCGACATTTGAATGGAATAAAGAACCCAACAAAACGTGGTTATAAAACCTATATAATTACACGCCTCTTCCCCCCCTTTTTTTTCCCATCTACTCGCTCGTCGAATTCAACAACTCAACGCTTAGAGTTTCCTTCTCCGCTTCAGGTGATTATAATCTTCTACCTCGCGTTGCCGAATCGCATTTTCTTTGCTTTTTTCTTCTTTCTTTTTGCTCGCCGAGAAGATGGAATGAAGACAGTGGTTCGTTTCATCATGGCGTCGCAAGTTTCTTCCTTTGTTTGTACTTCGTATAATATTATCACGGCTTTCTTTCGTTCTTGAACAAAGTAAATGGTGCATTAATCTTTCTTTCTTTCAACGTTTGCTCTTTGGCGGCGTTTGCCTTCGAAGCTTCCTGCATTTCTCCAGCCCCGTTTCTGAACGCGTTTTCTTTCTTTTTTACCTTAGTTGTCGTTTGATTTCGAGGTTTCTAAAGTAGGTGAAGTTTAATGGCTTTTTTTAGATACGATGCCATTTCGTTGACTTGACTTTTCTTCTTTTCTCGATTACTTGCGCTTTCTTAATAAGAAAATCTCTGCTTTCTAGAGGATTTCTCCGTGTCGTTGTTCTCTACTCTGTTTTCTTCAAGATTCTGTTGATTCATTTTGTCAATATCAAGCTCTTATTTTTCTGGTTGGTTTCATTGTTTTTTTTCCTTTGAGCGGATACAAACACACACACACACACACACACACACACACATATATATATATATATATATATATATATATATATGTATGTGTGTATGTATGCACATATACTTCTTTTTTCCTTCTAGTTATATTATTGGTTAGTTCAGTTTTTTTTTCCTGTCAATGCAAATTCCTATTTCTCTACCCCCTCTAGTTGCATCTGCTTTGGCTGATGTTAGTATTCTTTTTGTTTTCAACTTTGAGTTTTTTTTTAATTTAGTAAATTACAATTTTATTTGCATTTTCATTCTCCCCACCAAATATATAAACGATTCAAAACCAACTGTCTATTAATTATCTGGTAGTTGAATCTTTAGATTTTCTGCCGTCTATTAATTATATGTTATTGGTAGTTTTGATGCTGATTGATGGCAACTTGAGTATGACGGAGCCTGAAACTTTTCTGTTTTTTTGGTTTTCCAATAACCATTTTTAATTCAACCAATGAATCTTTTATGTACTCGGGGTCCATTGTGTTTTCCCCCCACGCTTCACTGTAGGCTAGTAATGTGTGGTACTGTGGTTGCCTTTAACGTGGTTCCCTATCTCGATAATACTAAATTGTGGGTGTGGTTGCAGTGTAGATGTTGCGGATGATGTTACGACGTAATTTGTTTTCTAAAAGTAACTATATTTCTAGATTACAAACGCTACTACGACTACGATATCATCATGACTTTGAAGATTGTTATGATGTGCTCATTATACTATGCTGCATTCGCAATTTAATACTATGCCTCTCTCCGCTTGTGGGGCATGACATTGTTTTCATTAAGCAACTACTATTTACTTTTATTTTTCTCTACCAAATGCCTTCCCTTAATCCCTTGTGGGCCAGTTTTCTTTATGAATGAATGCCTGCTGTTTCAGCTTTTTGTTTTTGGTTTCATTTAAATTCAGATTTTGGTGCCTTTTGCATGTTTGATTTGAGGATGATGTAGGTGTTTGTTTTTATCTTCCTTTTCCCCATACAATTACAATTTGAGTTAATGAGGGTGGTGTGTTCCTGCAATTTTGATCTTTTTTATATATACTTTGTTCCTTTAAGTGTTATAATTAGGCAATAATGTTCTACTAAAGTTTAAAAGAATACTATTCATTGGCAACAATTTGCCTTGAATTATCATAATCAGGTTGTACCGTAGATACATACTTTATCATAATAGTTTAGAAGTGCATGTAGAATTGCTGCCAAGTTGCTTGAAAAAAGAAGATAACGACACAAGACAGTGTTAAATGTTAGTGTCCAAAACTTTCGCTCTGACAAATTAACTTTTTTCTGGTAAGAAAGAGACTGAACTTTTAAAGGAATTTGAGGTTGTGAATGGTAATAAAAGGTAGAATTTACTCTATTTCCCGGAGATGATTTATCCCTTTTACAGAAAATTCTCGTGCTTATAAATTCTCTTTCCTTGCAAGTTGTGTGTCAGATGTTGCCTACCTGTTCTGACTGATAAGATGTTTCCCTTCTTCCCAATTTGTTTAAGTTTATTAATCTGAGCTGTTGGTTTTCATTTTTGTGTCATCTTTGCTCATTTTCATCTTCAACTTATATATAGTGCCTCTTCTGCCCCCAACCTTTTGGTTTACCTGAAGTAATTTGTTTATAATTGTTTGGTTTCAAACAAACGAATTTGTCAAATTTGTTTAGTGGATGTTATTTTGGATCTGTACATTAATCATAGTTCTTCAATCAATTCCCTGCAGATACTGTCCTAGTACATAAGTTTTAAGCAGAGTAACCAAGAGATATGAACAGGTTCGATTCTGATAGCAGGTTCTTTTAAAAAGTATTGTGATCTTTAGCTTGATTTTGCCCATTTTAACACACCCTTTCTGTATCAGTTTTCAGGGCCCTTATGCTTGATGGACTTCTCGCTTAACAGCTGTGACAAGAAAACTTTAAAGAGGAGGTTCTTCATTGATAAAAGGGTTGGCTAATTAGAATATCTGAGATTGAACATTAAGATTTGCTTTGTTGCTCGAGTGGAAAGTTTGCTAAGGAATCTGTTAGCTTTTACGTTATAAGTAGTAATTCAAAGCTGGAACAAATGGACCTGAAACCCAATCCCACTGCTCCTGTTCTTGCTGATCCTGTAACGATAAGCAAGTCAAGATTAGTAGTACCTTCTGGTCTGTTGCCATGCTCACCCCCGGCATCGGTGTTTTCTCCAAATCTATTAACTGCTCCTAGGAAAAAAGCTGGTATTCTTGATGATGTTCGTGCCAGCAGCTGGCTGGATGCTATGAAATCCTCATCCCCACGTCATAAAATAACCATGGATTACAACCATGAGCTTGTATCGGCTGATACGGATGTTGCATATCACACATGGATGGTATTGTTTCACTTTTACTTCTTCTCTTAATTTAACTTTGGAGCAAATTGATGGGTTATTGATGTCTCTGGTTTACTTCTCTACTTTCTGGTTTTACAGGTAAAGTATCCCTCTGCACTCACATCTTTTGCGCAAATTACAAATTTTGCTGAAGGCAAGAGGATAGCATTGTTTTTGGATTATGACGGGACGCTTTCACCTATTGTGGACAATCCGGATCTTGCCTTTATGTCTATTGATGTAAGAATGAATGGGTTGCCTGACAAGCCATTTGTAAAATATTACTTATTAGTAGACTAACCAAAGGTTTTTATTTAGATGCGAGCTGCTGTAGAAAAAGTGGCAAAATACTTCCCGACAGCTATAATTAGTGGAAGAAGCCGTGACAAGGTGATTTGAGGATCAAGTTCATTAATAACTTTGGCATCTTCCTTGGCACTGTTTGATTGCCTCATAATTGCGTTTTAATTTTAACAGCATCTCGCTCCATGCCATTGTTTATTCAGGTATATGAGTTTGTCGGACTAACAGATCTCTATTACGCCGGAAGTCATGGAATGGATATCATGGGTCCTGTTAGGCAATCTTCTGATGACGCTCCTAACTGCATCATATCTACTGATAAGCAGGTTTGTGCTACAAATTTTATAGCTTTCTACATCATTGCGTGTGTTTCCATGTATTCTTCCTTAAGTAAACTTTTCTCTTTAATGCACAGGGTAAGGAAGTAAACTTGTTCCAGCCTGCTAGGGAACTTCTACCGACGATCGAGGAGGTATGTAAATGTCTTCACGGTGCCATACTTTAAGCCCTCGACTTTTTCATCCCCGTTCTGATGTCGAGCCCTCATTCTTCACAGGTTTTTAACTCACTTGTCAAAAGCACCAAAGAAATAAAAGGAGCGAAAGTTGAAAACAACAAGTTCTGTGTCTCTGTTCATTACCGAAATGTAGATGAGAAGGTAGATACTTTGCTCGGTATAAGAAGCCTATATCTTTTGGCGATGATTCTTAATAGCATCTACATAATTTATTAACTTCTTGAAACCTTTTTTTGTTTACTTAGAACTGGAACACAGTCGCACAGTGTGTCCATGATGTCATCAGAAACTACCCTTGTCTACGATTGAGTCATGGGCGGAAGGTGATCGTTAAAGACAATCTGATTCTCTGATCTTTTCGTAAATTCATGTCGTGTTCATTTGATAATATTATTCATTCATTTACATAATTAGGTTTTAGAAGCTCGGCCTGTGATCGACTGGGATAAGGGGAAAGCTGTTACATTTCTACTTGAATCACTTGGTTAGTATGTTTCCTAGACTCTCTTCTTGGTCGTGTCATGAGGCGTTTTTTTTTTATCCATAATAATTGTCAATACAAGTGGTTCAGGGCTCAGTGATTGTGACGATGTGCTTCCCATCTACGTCGGAGATGACCGGACGGATGAAGATGCATTTAAGGTTCTGAGAGAGGGAAACTGCGGATACGGCATTTTAGTGTCTTCCGTGCCCAAGGAGAGTAATGCATTTTTCTCCCTTAGGGACCCTCAAGAGGTACGTAAAGGAGGATGGGGAGACCTGCAACTCTTTTTCTTGCTCGTGGGACTCACAGTTGTTGTATTTGATCCAGGTCATGGAGTTTCTTAAATCACTGGTGACGTGGCAGAAGAAGAAAAGTGCTCTCTGAATACAAGAAGTAACATGGTGAAGGAAAATACGCTGATACGAAGATAGACCATTATATCCTATAGTTAACACATCGAGGCATTGGAGAAGATGAATTCAGGCACAATGCTTCTTGTCTTAACTGTATATTTCTCTGCTTCAGTTATCTTTTCTCACTGCTAGCCAAGGATTAGATGCCTTTCGCCCATGGAAAACACAGTATTTTTCCCCATTCTTTCCAAGTATAGAAATTCCCCCACCTTTTTATTTATTTATGTATTTACAGACTCCTCTTGGATTTTGTTTTCATCCAATTTTCTCCTGTTTCTAGCCCTCGATATAATTGAATGGAAATACTCACCTTACCTTTCTTTTGGGATGGGATTGATGGGCGAGAACAACCGCCCTTTAAAATATATATATATACCAAAAAATTTAAATTATCATATATATATATATATATATATATATTATTTATTTATTTTTATTAATAATCTGTTTTCATTAATTTCTATTTTTTTAAAATTTTCTTTTTTAACGTAAAATCATTGTCATAACTACATGCATACAATATCATGTTTGTAAATATATTACTACAAAAGCTTCAGCTTTAACTCTATAGTCCCCTGTCCAACATCATTTGCCTAACCCTCTCCACATCCCCCCATCTACCTGCATTGCTATAAATCTTCATCAATAGCTCAAAATTATGTCGGTTATCCGGCTCCAGCTCGAAAAGTTTTCGACCAGCAATCTCTCCGATCTCTATATTTCCATGAACAGAGCAAGCATACAGCAATGCTCCCCACACAGTTGGCCCTGCCTCGAACTCCATTCTCTCCGCTATCAAGTTGAAAGCCTCGTCTATCAGCCCTGCTCTCCCATAAAGATCCACCATGCAAGCATAGTGTTCCATTCTTGGATCAATCCGGTACTTCTTTCTCATTAACCTAAACAGCCGTTCTCCGTTCTTAACCAATCCTAAATGAGCACAAGCTGATAGTATTGCCACGAATGTGATGCTATCAGGTGAAGTACCACTTTTCATCATCTGTTCAAAGTACGGCAGAGCTTCTGGGTGTTTACTATGACCGGAGATTATCGAATTCCAGGACACTATGTCCCCGCTCAGGCATTTGGCGAAACAACCAACTTGCCCCATCTAACTTCCCTACACTGGAGTACACCATAATTAAAGCATTAACAACCGATATATTTGACTCGATTCCTCGCCTGAGAACCCACCCGTGTATCTGTGTCGCCATCTTCAATGACGAAAAACTAGACAGAACTGTGGATATGGCAACAGAGTCGGGCTCAAATCCCTCTTGAATCATCCCACGGAATAACTGAAATGCCTCGACCGATAACCCGTGTCGAATATAACCCGTCAACATAGAATTCCAAGAAACGTTATCCTTACAAGCAATGTTATCGAAAACACGCCTAGCCTTAACAATGTCTCCACATTTTGCGTACATATCAATAAGAGCATTAAGCACAAACCCATCATTTCCAAAACCTTTGCGCACCACATCGCGGTGAACCGCTTCCCCAACATGAATCAACCCAATTCCAGCGCAAGCCTTCAACACGCGAGGAAATGTGAATCTATCAGGTTCAACGCCCTTTTCCTCCATCTGAAAGTAAAGGGCTAAGGCATCTTCATATTGTCCCAGTTCCGCGTACCCCGAGATAAGAGAATTCCATGGAAAAGCGGATTCGTTCCGCCTAGACATTTCATCGAACACCTGGTGGGCACTTTCCATCCGTCCGGACGCAGCGTACAACCTCAACAGTTTTGAAGAAATGCCCTTGTTTTTACGCAATAAGTTTGGGGGAACAAGACGATGAATCGCGATGCCGTGATCGATGGATTGCAATTGGTAACACGTTTCTAGCAGAGAAGAATATATTTCCGAATCGATGACTATGCCGTTCTTGACCGAGGCTTCGAGATCATTAACGACGGAATCGAGGGCCGCGAGCTTAGTTTGAGTGAAGGGCTTGTTTTTGACAAGGAGGGGGGTTGGGGAGGATCTTGGGAAAGGGAGGGCAGGTCTTCTGTCATTCTGAAACCGTTTTCGCTCTAATTTTTTCTGTTTCTGTTTCTTCTTGCTTTTGGAAGAGCAGTGCGAATGGAGTTTCGATGAAATTGTGCGTGGCTGCGCCTGTAAAAGGGCAACCATATTCGGCAGCAACAACCGAGTTCCCAAATGTATCGCCAGAGTATATTTAGGTAGAAGAAGGGAGATCAATTATGAAGCTGAACGCTTCTTCAATAAGAATTGAAGCTCAAATATTATTTGCATGTTATTGAGTAAATACTGAAGTAGATTGAGATGAAAATGAGAGCTTTCAAGCAGCAATCACCATCACCCAAACTATCATGTGCCTCTTCTCCTCAATTTATAAGAAGATTTGAAAATTAGTTCGTTTTTAAGAAATCAAACGAATTTAACTATCAAACACTTTGATTTTGACAATTTATCTATTCTTGATGCACCAACTTCGATTTTTCTTTTTGTAAAATAATTTTTTTAAAATTTCAACAATCTGTTTCTAAATACTTTGATTGCGTTATGCGAGGATGAAATCAAGACTTCAACTCCTCAAAATTGATCTAAAACGCTTTAGATTTTTTTAATGATAAATTAGGTCAAAAGAAAAGAAAAAAATAAACCTTAAAAACTCATAGATATAGGATAATTATTTCTTTTAACGGGTGATATAGAAAATAGTTACAAAATTAATTATTATACATTTATTTTAGTTTAAACACTTAAATTAAACTAATATAATTTCAACATTTATTTGTATAATAAAAGAGCACGAATTAACTTACTTCATTTGTTAAAAGAATCATTATTCTCAGTGATCACGAGTTTGAGCATCGATAACGAAAATAAGATGATTGAGTGTTCATTATTAAATAGTTAAAAATATTTATAATATATTCTATTTTTTAATTACTTTATCCTAATAAAAAAAGTTTTTATAAAGTCCGTTTTGCAATTTATTACGCTATGAGCCCTTTTTTATTGCCCAAACCCCTGTAAAGAATTGGAAGCCAGTTCTTGTGGTAAAACTGAGCATAGGACTCGAACTCGATCCGATCTGAAAAATATATAATTTTACCTTTTATATTTAAGAATAATTACAATAATATCCTCTATATATTATTTTTTCCTAATTAAGTTATTATTTTTATTGAATAAAAATAATATATTTTTTAATTTTTTCGGGTCGGATCGAGATAACTAAAAATCTGACTCGACACGACCCATGCCCATTCCTAGGTAAAACTCTGAAAACAAAAGAGACATTTATTGGTGCAGTTAGGGAAATTTGAATTCGATTGAAAGAATGAGATGGATTAGGGTTTAAGTTGGCAGAGTTCAACATTGCTCTTCTTGCAAAATAAGATAGCTACTCATTAATCCTACGGCATTATTGAGTAGGATAATACGAGTAAAATCATATTATCCGATCCTTCTTATCCCATTAATATTTGTTAGAGTTCATGCAATCCTTATGAATAGAAGTTGGTACAAGCGATAAATAACTTGATATTATTTGAGTAAGGTCTTAGATTCAAATCCTTGTGGATGCAAAAAATCATTCAATCCTTCATTCTTTAAAATCATCCTAGTATCTTACAACACATGCTAGGATATTAAGAAAAATAAAGGAGGAATGGAGAATAAATTTTCAATTTATGTAAAATATCTTACATATCCGAATTAAATTTTCAATTAAATTTTGGGTAAATTACGTATTTAATAACAAAATTATCAGTTTTGGTCCGTTTAAGTACCTAAAATTTCAATTTTTTCAAAAACATACCTAACATTTAGTTTTTGTTTCATTTTAGTATCGCGTCGTTAAAAGCTTATCGGAGAGGCTGACGGGGCATAGTTCTAGTGGACGGTCGACCAATCTGAATGGTGGATCACGAGAGAGACAAATCGACCAACATAATCCAGTTTCAAGCTCACAGACGATTGATGACGGAGATCAAAGGATGAATAAGTCGAAGAGTCCATCATCGCTTTGGGGAAGTGAAGACATTTTACAGTGAAACGAATGTCAGAATCACGTTCAATGGGTCAAAAATATATGAGTCGGAAAGTTTGAGCTTCATCGATGGATTGCAATCAGTAACACGTTTCTAACTGATAAGAGTATATTTCCGAATCGATGACTATGTCGTTCTCGACGGAGGCTTCGAGATCTTTAACGACAGAGTCGAGGGCGTCGAGTTCAGTTCAGTTTGGGTGAAGGCTTGTTTTTGACAAGGAGTGGGGTTGGGCGAAGATCTTGGTAAAGGAAGGGCAGGTTTTCTGTCATGCTGAAACTGTCTTCGCTGTCGTTGTTTCTATTTCTGATTCTTCTTGCTTTTGGAAGAGCAACGAAATTGTGTGGCTGCACCTGTAAAAGGGCAAGCATTTTCGGCGGCAACAACCAAGTCCCGAAATGTATTGAATATATTTAGCTAGAAGAAGATGGGGAGATCAATACATCTGCCTTTGGTTCGTTGCTGTATTTACATAATGGGCAAAAACTTGTGATTTTCTTGTTTCATAAGAACCTCATCTAACGGCCTGCTGCAAACGAAAAAAATAAGAAATCGGTAAGTCGGTCCGAAACTCGAATACCGTTTATAATATCGGTATAGACATTACGATCGGTGGACGATACATATGTTTTTCTCGCCACCATTCTTCCTCCTCTAGCCATACCAACTACTACCACTACGACACAGACAGAGATGTCTCAGTGGATATGAGGGGATGGAGTTTCTATTGTTACAAATAATATAGCATAGCTGATAGAAAGGATCATTGTGCTCACAGAACATACGTCGAAGGCAGTAAGGATAGGACGAACTTGTTCGAATATTTCATCTTCTGTTCCTACTGCCTTGATCTGCAAGTATTAGGTTCACTTACTGTAACCAATAAGCTATAAGCAACCATCAATCTAGGAAGGGACAATTGTATACATATATACCGTATAGAGCTTTCCTCTATGCGAGTAGTAGTTAATAACTGGAAGACTCAATGCCTCGAAAACTTTTTGGCGTTTTTTTTATTGTTTCTAAGTTGTCATCAACTCGGCCCACCAACAAAAATGGTTTTCACTTGATTCGAATTAAGCCATAAAATAATCAATATACATGTACCTGATTACGATTCAGCAAACGTTTCACCATTTCTTCTTCAGGGCAATCAAAGAAAAGTACAACATTTGGCTCTACACCAATCTGCAATTGTCATTAAAAAGTTACATTATTAATAAAAAGATCATTTCCCAAATATTCCCCCATATTTAGTGAGTTTCTTCAACCCTGCAAGCTAACAATTTTAGGAAACACATAATTAACAGCTTTGCGAAGAAGATAGTCAATTGTTTTGCAGTTATCACATGACAAATCGATTTGGAGGGAGTTAGAAGCTTACAATTCGTTCGGATGACACTCGGTTCTCCTCACTCCTTAGTACGCGGGAAGCCATCGATGAGAAATTTGTTACTTTCACTTGATTCCATCTCCTTTTGTATCAGTTTGACAGACACCTGTGACGGGACGATTTTTCCTTCTTTAATTGTGTTAAGAATCATGGCACTAAGAGCCGGCTTTTGGGGGGAGCAATAGCTCAGGCCCCCTTTTAAATGGTACACTGAGGGCCCTTAGAGTTAACTTCTAATTTATAAGAAATTATTTTTTAGTTATTCAAATATGGAAATAATATGCAATAGGGCCCACTTTTAACTTTTCACTCAAGGGAAAATTAATATTTTCAATTTCCCATTATTAAATTCCTCTTCTTTTATTTATTAAATTTCAAATCAAATACAACTATATATCCCTATTTTTTAAATGTCATTCTTCATTTATTCAAAAAATTGTACATCTTCTTCTCAAATATCAATCCATTCTTCAATTTATTTAAAATTCTTTAATTTTTCTTCTTTAATTTATTAAATATTCTTTAAGTATTCTTTTCCATACCATACCCACGATTCAATTCATTCAAATTCAAGAAGAAAAAGAACATTGGATTTTTTGAGCTTTTGGATTTGTTAATTTTTGAAAAAACAAGGTCTCAAGGATTGGTAAGAAAATTCAATTTTTGAAATTATTCGATTCAAAAATCAGGTTGTGTTGCTCATACTCTTATCTATTAATAATTCAATTATTCTTGAAAATTTATATTTTGCATGTTACAACTACTAGCCTAACTGTTTAGGATATATGTGTGGTGATTGTGTTTGTATGCTTGATTATTTTTTTATTTCATTTTTAATTTTTTTACCTACGATTTCTAATTATCTAATTATGTTTCATAAAAGAAAGTATAACTCTGGATGCAAAAAGCGTAAAAAGAAAAAAGAATCAATGAGTTAACTCAATCCCAAAGAGGAGCACTTGATAAATTTTTTATTAATGAATCACATGTGTTCAAAAATGAAATATTGTTAATGTTGGTGATTTTCATATTAATAATGCAGATGATAATAATGTTAATATTGATGATAATGTACATTTAAATAATAATAATGAACATGGTGATGAGGATATGCATGTAAATGAGAAAAATGTCTTTGATGATGATGTTGGACCTTCTAATGTTGAGCATGTTGATGTTGATATAGTTGATAAGGCTAATAATGTTGATGTTGATATAGTTGATAAGGCTAATAATGTTGATGTTGATAATGCTAATGCTTTTGATGATATTGCATGTCATAAGTTTAACATATTTGATCCAAGAAATTAGGATGCTTTAGATTCTCAAATGATTGACATTTTATCGATAAATGTTCCTAATAGAAATTTATCTATTGTGAAAGGTGTTAAAGATAAAATTGGAAGACAATTTTCTACCTCATTTTACACTAGAATACTACCAAATGGGGAAAAATATGATAGAGATTGACTTGCATATTCAAAAGAACTTGACATAATTTTTTGTTTTGTTGTAAATTATTTAAGAAATGATGTGATAAAGGTCAATTAACAAATGACGGATATAGTGATTGGGCACATCTTTGTGTTAGAATTAGAGAGTATGAAACCAGTATAGAACATGTACAAAATATGGCCACTTGGTATGATTTACATTTAAGACTTAAAAAGAACATAACTATTGATAAAATAGCTCAAAAACAACTTAAAAAAGAGAAAGAACATTGGAAAAATGTCTTATAGTGATTATTTCAATTGTGAAGTTTCTTGTAAAAAATAATCTAGTATTCGTGGTACTAATGAAATTGTATCAAAATAGTAATGCAATTTTTTTGGGATTAATTGAAATATTAGTGAGTTTGATCCTATTATTTAGGAGCATGTTCGTC